TTTTTCCATTAAAAGCATTGTTATCGTACAGAAATATAAACCCAAATTGGTGTCTCGTCATTTCTTAGGAGCTATATATAGGTCATTACTGACACAAACCCTCTTAGGAGCCTGCTTTGGGCTCCCATGTGAGGATTAAAAGCTTCAGCTCAAAATGCATCTGACATATCATATGTATGTAAGAAAAATTTCAAAGAAATAAAAAATAGAAATAAAAATATAATAATAGTGATAGTAACAATAATACAAGGACCTATGAAGAAAAAAATAATAATGTTTTCCCTTTAATCTAGATCAAGGAAAGTGCTCCTATTAAATATCATCTAGAATATAGAGACAATGAAAGAGGAAATTAGATAAATTTCATTATATGGCAAAAGACATAAACAACATAAAAAGGAAAGAAACATAATTACAAACAGGAAAGAATACATGCAATTTCTAGTGCAGATCAAAGGATAACGGTCCCATTTTAAAGATCATCTTAAGTTGGAGAAGAATTACAATTTTAATGATCTTCAAATCCAAAAAAAAAGCAATTTACAGGATTATAAATAAAAAGGTAAGTCTCTTCCATTCATAAAAAGGCATATGATTTCAAATAAGACATATAAATGAAAATTAACATAATATCTCATGTTTAACTTATTACATCAACAAAACTCCAAAGTTTGGTAAAATACTCCATAATGTACAGAAAACATACATTGTTCAGCTCCAGCAATATGAAATACTTATGCAAAATGGTAATTGTAGTGGCATTATCAGTAATAACAAAAATCAGAAGTAATACACCAGGAGACAAGATTGAGGTCAAAAAAATCTGGATGGTTGCTTCATTTGAGTGATGTGTCTAGGGAATTACTGAGCCCTTATTTATGTTTGATGTTTTTCATAGTGACTACTTCAAAATTACAAAATCAGAATGTTCCAAAAACAAAATATTCTTCCTGCCTCTTTTTAATAAACTCACTTTGGTGCTATTCCATTCTTAATTGATATTTGGTTTTCCTAACTCTTTGCTACTTTTCCTTCTCCTTAGATCACTGGAATAGAAACAATTTATCAAAATCTTCTTAAGCCATCTTTATTTTATGCAATTATTAATGTGGTTTTATAGGAATTTGACTAGCCAGTTTTATGGATATTGTTTTATTCTTCCAAGAAAAACAGAAAAATATTCCAAGTATATTAAATTTCTGTTTATTCACCCAGAGTAGTTTGTGAAATGGAACTTAAAGGTGAATTATATATTCTGGAATTTTATTTTCATATAAGTCATAACCAAATAAAAAATGTTTTTGAATAACAAAAGTACCCTCAAGGATGACTCTTAAATCACCACTGCATTCCCAAAGTATTACATTAATTATACATTATATACATATAGAAGGTTTTAAGGCTAAATTTATACTAATTTTGATATAAACATTATATCTCATCTTTAAACAGAATCTCTGTTAATCATTTTCAACAGTTACCACACTAGTACTTCCCAATAAAGTAGAAGTCAGGAATACTCTAGGAAAGAACTTAAAAATGCTTTCATACTCTTCATTGCCGTCACTTGTAGCATTTATACCTTTATGTTTAACTAAAAAATGTGCTGTACACATTTCTGTTATATGCTATACAAACATGTTTCATATATCTTTCTAATATATGAAGAAATATTAAGTCAAAATTTAATTTTATTTAAAAGAAGATCTTGCAATATATGTGCTCTTCAAACAGGATGTATTTACTTTTTTCATGAAAAAAAACCCTATAATATTTAGATGCACAAAAAACACTAAAACTCTGGTGACTTCTTTTCGGGGAATTGATGAAGTACATGGCAAATGTAATTCATTATTAAATTTAGTAAGAAATTAGGCTAAAGTATGATTCCTACTCTAAAAAGTAAAATTCTGTTAATTATCACTCAAACTCAGAAGCCAGAAATGTTATATGAGACTGTAGATGTATACACAATTAAGAGAATCCCATTTTGTGAGAATTTCCATTATTTCTTGTAAATAAATCATATGTTTTGAGCACACCAATTTAAACATGTTCATGTAAAGACCTTAGGAAAATTTATTTTATAAAATTATAAAAAAATGAAAGATAATACTCATTTACTATTTTGGTCCCCTCCATTGGAAACCTCATTTGATACTATACTGCAAATGGAAATGAATAACCCAACCTGAGGGTAACAGGCCATATTTGAGTCTCTTCTTCCAGTATGATAACTATCTGTAGTAATAGGCTCTGGCACAGGGCTTACCTACCTTAACAGTTTGGTTATTATCTTTTATCTTATAAGAATCTCCCTCTGAAGTTCAATCTGTGTGAAAAATCAGAAGTATTTTCATGTTGTCCTCAGCAGAGTTAAAAAAAAACAAGTATAGATTACCATATAAATAATGAGTACTATTTGTAGAATGTTTAATTGGTAACAAGTGTACAACATGTTTATTATATATGAATCCCTGATGGACTTATTATTCCCATTTTACAGTGGCTGATGGTAGATCAATCAAAAAACACCATGTTAGGGAACATGGTTCAGTTTAAACCTATAAGAGTCTGAGTTTTCAGCCACCACCAGGCTCCCACTCCTGCAAGGCAAAACTGGTAGTTGTTCTTGAGAAAACAAAAATAATGATACACAGGCTCTGCTCCCTGCATACCTAGAATAGAGGAGCAGGGAGCCCATAAAGCATTTGCAATTTCCTTTACCTCAGGAGGCTCCATTTTCTCATTCATTAAATGGGATTAACAATATATAACAGGGTAGGTGATAAGGACATATGAGACAATATATATGGTGGAATGCCTGCCAAATAGTAGTCACTTAGCAAATTTAGGTTTGCCTTTATTTCAGGAGTCTTTAAACAGGAAGAGATTCAGAACCGTGGGAAGAATTCTGAAGACAAATTAATTAAAAAAAAAACATTCAGTGATGCTGATTTATGACCTAGTAAGTTTCAGTTTGAAGAATAAAATACTTCATGCTCTTAATAAAAAGCCTAAAAGTCAGTAGTACACAGAAAAATTTCTCATAACAAAATTACTTTAATGACTAGTGGTAAATGTGCTCTTGAATGCTGGCCGATTTGGGGAATAGCAAAGTGCTTTATTTTTACAAGGATCATTTGTTCTGCATTTGACAAGAACCATGAGCATTTCATTCTGTTTTACTTTTAAATGGGTATTATTGTTTTTGGTTTCTGACAATGTCAAGAAAAATGTCACACCAATCAGACTACCCCATTCAACCTTAATAGGTAGACTACAGAACAGAGCATAACTTTGACTGATCTATGTTTGAAAATTCTACATAAACAATGTTGATATTTCCATTTTTATCAAGTATCAGCCCAAGGCATTTCACAACTGTTGTTTAAGCAAAACACAACTGTTCGTTGCTATAAAAAAAAAAAAAAGAAGAAGAAGAAGAAAAATAGTAGCAAGTAACAGAATGTTAGTTTTAAAAAAAAAACTATTTACTGAAAATGGGTAGCTGTTACTGCAATATATTATAACCTTTAACTTGGGTAAACTTTATGTTCATTAATGGATCAAAACATACTGTTTGAATTTGAAGTTGTTGAAACTGAGGGTTAAGATTTAGAACATTTTTCGGGCAATGTTTACTAACTATATTTTTATGAGTGAAATTGATAATTAACATCTGAACTTTATAAATAAGTAGATATATTAAATGCTCTTTCTTTGTCAGAGCCTTGATAGAATATTGTTCTGAACTTTTTATTCTGAATATCTTGTTGTTGCTTGTTCTCATTTAAATGTTAATATGGTCAGTCAGTTTAATTGCATAGCACCTTTCATATTGAGCTCACTTATAATTAAGTACTTCAAAAGACAGCAAACTTTCTAAACATTTTGCAGCTATGTTGTGGCTTTATAGTTAGGAGAACAGATTTAAATACCCAGAGACAATTTTATGGGAAGAAACTGCTCTGATTTTCTTGCACTTCTTTAGATTGATGTGTTAGGACTCACACCTGCTTCTGTGCACTAGGGTTGCTATGAGAGAGAGAGAGAG